ATTATAGAGGTATCTCTAAATTGTCTGCCATTCCTAAGCTTTTTGAAAAAGTTATCACCCCTCACTTGCAGCACCTGTGTAGGTCAATAATTTCACCATGTCAACACGGTTTTATAAAACAAAGATCAACAACCACGAATCTCTTGGAGTTTACTTCATTCGTGATTAGGGGTTTTAAACACAATTTTCAAACAGATGTCATTTACACTGACTTTAGTAAAGCATTTGACTCTGTAAATCATTCACTTCTTATAAGGAAACTTGACTTATTAGGTTTCCCAGTTGATCTTCTAGAATGGATCTTAAATTATCTGAATGGCAGGACACAAAGGGTCCTTTTTAAGAATTCACTTTCTTGTGTTCTCCGAGTCACCTCCGGCGTCCCTCAAGGGAGCCACCTTGGCCCGCTACTATTTACCTTATTTATTAATGACCTTCCATTAGTAATAACTCACTCTCGTGTACTAATGTACGCAGATGATGTTAAATTGTGTTTGCAGTATAAGGACATTTCTTGCCGTTCGAATTTACAATCCGATCTAGATAGCTTTGAAAAATGGTGCAGTGATAACTTACTCAACTTAATCGGCTCAAAGTGTAAGCTTATGACCTTTTGTCGAACTAACCCGATACGGGGGGCTTACACTTTAAGTGGATGCTCTTTGGACAGAATAACTCAGGTGGATGACCTTGGTGTTCTTCTGGACCCAAAATTAAAATTTTCCATCCATTTTTCGTCTATGGTAAATAAAGCCAGGAGTGTGCTTGGATTTGTAAAAAGGTGGTCAAAGGAATTTGACGACCCTTACATAACTAAAAATTTATTTATTTCGCTTGTCCGTCCAATTCTTGAATACGGATCACCGGTCTGGAGTCCCCAATATGGAGTTCATTCGGATCGTATTGAATCGGTCCAAAAAAATTATTTACTTTTTGCCCTACGGCGCCTAAATTGGGATGCAAACCTTTTATTACCCTCCTACTCTAGTAGACTACTTATAATTAATTTACCCTCCCTAGCCAACCGTAGAACGATGCTTGGAACAGTTTTTATGTTTAATCTTATTTGTGGTCCCCGACTTAGTTAGCAGGCTAAACTTTTCTGTTCCAAGTAGATTAACCAGAAACTACATCCCCCTAATTTTAAATCAATGTAGATCTAACTATGAGCTGCATGATCCCTACAGAGTATTGTTTTCTGACTATAATAGACTTTATCCTATTATATCTATTTCTGACTCTCTGCCGTTCTTAAAGCGATCTCTCTTGACTTTTTTAGCTCAAAATTAGATCTTGTTGTCTTCCTCCTAATTTTCCTCGGCCTTTTTCTTATTTTTCTAAGTCGCGACTCTCCTCTCGTGAATTTATTATTTTAAATTTAAAATTAAAATAAAATTTAACTTAACTTAACTTTTCTTTCCTTAATTTTTTTCTTTTAAAAATCGCGTCAAAATTATCGCGAATCGTGCCGTACGATACACGGCGGTCGCCCCTCGGTCGGTTGGGCGGGAAAGTGGGCCGTGGGACTAAAAAAAAAAAAAAAAAAAAAAAACTCCATGGCTTGATTGGTCCCTATACAGACTTATACACTTAAATCCTTCTGCTTAGTGCGTCTTCCGGGTATAACGATGAAAACTCGTCGGTCCCTTGAAAGTCGCTATAAGCGGATTCTACTGTATTTACATTTTACGGGGTGACTAACAATAATTCGCTTAGTTGCTGTCATATTATAATTTTTTTTATAAATAAAAAATTACATACTGTTTGTTATAAACTTACGATATATTACTCTAATTTTCAGAAGGATCGGTCAAAATGGAGACAAGAAAACGAAAAATTAGTGAAGACGTCTTAGTGGATATCCCTGTACCAACGCAGCAAGAAATTCGGTTTACTATTCTTTTTGGATTTCGGCGTAAGCTCAAGCCTGTGGAAATATTTAGTGAGTGCCATACAGCATTTGAAGTGCATGCGCCATCCCCTGTGACTGTTTCTAAGTGGTTCCGGAGATTTCACACAGGACATTTTTCTGTGGAGGACGAATATTGAGAAGGCCGTCCAAAAATTGCAACTGACGATGTAAATGTAGCGCTGGTGAAGTCTAAAATTGATGAAGATCCAAGATTGACCCAGGAAATGTTGGTTTAACAAGTACGATCCTAAAACCAAACAACAAAGCAATTTATTTCACCAGAGAAAAAGTTGTAGCTGCTATTCCTTTGTAAAAAGGTCAGACGGTAACTGCCAAGTGGTATACTGAAATTTGGTTACCAGAAGGATTCCAAAGTTTATTGGAAAAACAAAAAAAAAAAAAAAAAAAAAAGGAACTTCGCCGATACTTTTTACTCATGACAAGCACACTGCTAAAAAAAAAAAAAAAAAGTGACTCAATTGCGCTGTCAGGCATCAAAGAAATTCGACCAGCACCTTATTCCCCAGATATAGCACCTTGCGACTTCTGGTTATTTCCAAAAAAAAAAATAATAATTTGCGAGGAAGAGTGTTCAACACCAATGAGGATATAATAAATGCAGTCAACAATGAAATTGCAAAACTCCAAAAAACGATTTTTTTCAAAAATGTTTCGAAATAAATGGCGATTACGTTGAAAAAAAAAAAAAGAGATGATGAATGTATTTACAAAAATTAAATTTAAAAAAAAGTTTTGGCAAAGGTGCGGTGCATCTTCTTTGCTTCTTGAAATCAAGTCAAAATGACTAAAATTCTAAAGTGCTGCCGAAGTGCTCCCGGCAAATATTGGTCCCTAGCATTACAAAATAGGCATACCGTAGGGTTTGAGTTGGTAGCAGAAGCGATAAGTGCATTCGAATAATGTCTATGCAAGTTGTTTTCCACTTGCTGGCCTGGTGTTTGAGTTACTGAGGCTTGATCCAAATTTTCCATTATCCTACACCTCTTCTCCAAGAACGACTCCATAGCAGTCTGTTAAGATGTGTCCCCTCCTGCCGGCGGCTCGGGGTCATAGAAATAAGGGGTTCCGTCGTCGTACAAACACTTTGAGAATTAAACAATATAATTTCACTATTTATTCGTAGTTTTGAGTTGGTTAGGAACATAAAACAAAGCGATCAAAGAATAACGCAGCTCCATCAGCGTCGCAATGCAGTGCAGAATCAGACTGATTTTCTCTCTCTCCCGCCAACAGCAGCGTTGAGCTTTGCATTGAGCTTTGCCCAAACTCTCCACACGTATTGGCACCGTGGGGTCAGATCGCGAATCTGAACATGCCGCCCGCCAATGCTAGACCGTAGCATTAAGTGAGTCCTAAGCGTCCTGAGCGTCCTGGGCGTCCTGGGCGTCCTGAGCTGTACCTAGAATCTGGGAGGAGAAAGAAAAAGAAATTGAGTGCATGAGCGTGAGGCGACTAGAGCTGCTTTGAGGGAGGCTATTCTTGAATCGGTAAGCGACAGATCTTCGCTACCGACCGCTTCAGCTGTCCTTGCTGGGTTTTTAGCGTCACCACGCGAACTAAGCCATCCTGACCCGGGTGAAGCTCCACAATCCTTCCAAGAAGCCACTGCGATGGGGGAAATCTGTCGTCCTTGACGAGTACAAGTTCATCCAACTTCAGGTTCTCCGAACTTTGGGACCATTTTGGACGCTGCTGCAGATGGCTAAGCCAGTCCCTACTCCAGCCGTCCCAAAAATGCCGCAACATTGATTGCTGAAGCAGGAACTGCTCCCTGAACTTAGCAGAAGCTGGTCGGTATTCCGGGGGTGCAAGCATGGAGTCGCCGATAAATCGTCCGCGTCCGCTGTGAGCGGGCACAGCGGCCTTGAGTTAAGGCTCGCTTCTATGCTTATAAGCACCGTGGACACAGCGTTGCCAGACGTCCCAATTTTGGCGGGACGTCCCGATTTTTTAATTAAAATTAAATGTGCGGGCTGATGAAGCGCTCAGGAGTGAGAGAGGCGCGTGCGACTGCGACTTCCTCTCTTTCTCTTCGCTCTTTCCTTATTTTCATTTGCTTATAATTTTCTGTTTCACGAAAACGTACGATTATCAACGAAAGAATAACGATTACCGTTTGTTTTAGTGCAGTGAAGCAGTGAATAAATTTAAAAACTTATTATATACGTTTTTTATTATGTCCCGCTTTCGACGTAAGAGTCCCGCTTTTTTCACTAAAAAGTTCCTAAGTCCCGACTTGGCAAAAAAAAAAAGGCAACGCTGCGTGGACATCTCCTCGTAGATTAGCTTCCGATCCGCGATCACGCGCTTGTGGTGGTGCTTGACCGACTTGACATTGGCCTCCCAAAGCCCACCAAAGTTAGGCGACTGAGGCGGAGTGAAATGCCAAGTGACCCGTAGCTGAGCCCACTTCGGAGCGATGAGCGTCTCATAATCATCGCGTCATTGTGTCACCAAACCCTTTAGCTGACGGTCTGCTCCCACAAAGTTGGTGCCGTTGTCGCTATATAGATGCTCAACCATCCCTCGACGTCCAGTGAACCGGTCGAATGCCAGCAGGAAGTGTTCCGTGGTGAGCCCGGTCACCAGCTATGAATACAGCTATGTAGCCCTTGTACGTGCTCGACCCCCGAATCCGTGCCGCTTTGAGCTCAATGACTCCGGTATAATCGACTCCGGTCGTAACAAAAGGTCTCTGTGGCGGGTTCACTCGGTGAAGAGGCAGGTCTCCCATGAGCTGCGACGAGATGGTTGGGTTGGCGCGAAAGCAGCGAACGCATTTCCGTATCACTCGTTGCACGGATCGCTTTCCAGTGATGATCTAGAACCGCTGGCGCGTATGAGCCACGGTCAGCTGGGCACCTCCGTGAATCGTTGCTAGGTGGGAATGGTTAATAACCAGATCGGTAGAATGATGGGTACTGGGAAGAAATATGGGGTGGCGTCTGTCCGGCGGCAGCGCAGAGAACCTCAGACGGCCTCGTACCCGTAAAATGGCATCCACCAGAATGGGGGACAGCCGCAATAGCTTGCTCTGGGAAGGAAGCGGTTTTGAGTTTCTTACGGATCAAAGTTCCGCCGCGAAAGACTCCTTCTGGACCATCCATACTATGCAGAACATGGCGTCGTCGAGCTCGGGTATACTCAAGGCTCCTGCGCGTCGGCTCGGCTTGTGCGAAGTGTTGTAAACAAAACGCCTTAGGTAGGCGACCACTCGAACGGCTCGATTATACGTGGAAAAACGGGCGACAAATGAAGGGACTGGAGAGACATGGTGTATCCGGAGCTTATCCGCTTTCGCTTCCAGCGCTGGCTCGGATGATAAGATCGAGCTGGGAAACTGCTTCGGCCAATAATCTCGCTCGCGCGACAACCAGCCTGGCCCTCTCCACCACAAGGCAAAATTCTGCAACTCCTTCGATGTCAGTCCTCTGGTCGCGCAGTCCGCCGGGTTGCCTTCGGTACCCACGTGCCGCCATTGACTTGAGTCAAAATAGTCCAGGATGAATCCCACTCGATTGGCAAAAAAGGTCTTCCACCTTTGTAAGTCTCCCTTCAGCCAGTGCAAGACGATAGTGGCTTCCGTCCAAAAGACAAGCTTGACTGCCAGTACTGCTCCGCTCAGTTCTGTCCTGGGTATCGTTAAGGGCTTGACTGGTGTGACCTTCGTCTTGGCCGCTAGCAAGGTCGTGCCGACGGTCCCGTTGACGTTCTCGACTAGCAGGTAAACAGCGGCAGCATACGACGACGACGACCCGTCACAGAAGGCATTCAACTGCAGAACGGCTACAGAGGCGAGATTGTACTCCGTCCACCGACTGACGGCGATGTCCTCGATTCCTGGGAGGTCGGAGAGAAACGCTCGCCAACGCTCCAGAATCACTGCCGGCACCGGTGAGTCCCAGTCCAACGACACCTGCACTCCCTCGCTGTTCGCCACCTTGACCGAAGTAACCTCCTTTAAAATGAGCTTCACAACGATGATGACCGGAGCTATCAGACCTAAGGGATCGAAAAGACGCGCGATAGCAGCCAGTAAGGTCCTTTTCGTCGTGCACTCTGGAAAGTCAAAATTAATTTTGAAACCGAAACAGTCGGAGTCTGGGAGCCAATACATGCCCAACGCCTTTACCGGATCCTTTGTATCCCAATTTAAAAGAGTCTGACAGCATCGATTTTTATCTCGCAAAAAGTGCGTGAAACACAAGAAAAGGCAACGAAGTTGGAAACATAGACCACAAAAATACGATCTGGCCAAATAATAAATAAACAATCAATACAAAACTCTAAATATTTGGTGCGTCAAAACGGAAACGAAAACGAAAACGGAATTGGGAAAAATAATAGCACAAGGCCCAATCGAAAGAATAAGCGGAAACACTCAAATAGAACGCAAAACAAAGCATAAAACACTGAAGAATAAACACTCAAACTTAATTACAAAGCAACAAAAATGCCACCTGTAACTAAGCGTCAGCGAGAAAACACTGCAACCGACCTGGGTGGAGGGAGATCATCGGATGCTCCGTCGCCCCAATTGATCCAGCTTATTGACCAGCGGTTTGCAGAGCAGGCCATCCTTATTTCCTCTAAAATGAAAGAGGCTGAGGAGCGCTTTCTACATATACTGGAGGAGCGCCTGGGGGGTCTGGCTGGCGAGGTCCAACAATTGGCACAGCGTGTGCAGTACCTCGAGCGCGAGGTTGCTGATTTGGATGCGATTAGGCAGAAGCTGGGAGTTCTGGAGTCCAATTTTGTGGCTCAAGAAAAGGCAAACGTGGCCAGCACTCTGAGGATCCATGGTGTGCCGAAGGTAGAAGGGGAAAAATTGAAACATTTGTTTAACACCATGTGCTTCAACCTTTACATTACACCCGCGCCGGCAATAAAAGAAATTTACAGAACAACACGGAGAAACGCGACAACTACTGTGGTCGACACAGCGATCATGGTTAAACTGGAACGCGTTGGAGACAAGGCAGCCATTCTAAGAGCAACGGCGGCATACCGAAGAGAAACTAAGCAGCAGCTGACTCTAAAGCACTTCGGCATTGACTCTCCTGCTGTAGTTTATATTAATGAGCAGCTTCCGAAAGGTGCGTACGAGGCTTTCAAAGAGGCCATGCGCATGAAAAAGAATAAGCAGCTTGTTGCAGTTTTTGCGCGGAGGGGAGCGGTGCACATTAAAGAGCATGAAACCAGTGAGATCTTTGCAATTGAAAGCTACCAAGAGCTTTTAGCTTGGAAGAAAAGAGATCCCATAAACAGTAGCACTCACTCTTTTCGCTCTTAATACTAACTACTATTCTTGAATCAACGAACACAATTTCTCCCTTTTAATTTTTATTTTCCTTAATCACACTCGTGTTAACTCTTTTTCTATTTTATTAAGCTTATATTATTATCTAAAAATTTTCATTATGCTGTACACTGACAATTATTTAACAGGATTTATAACTACCCAATATGACTTCAGCTAACGCAAAATCCAATGCGAACAGTGAAACTTTAGTTCGTATACTTGCTAGTCGAAAGCCTGGCCTACACGTATGCCATATAAATGCACAAAGCTTAAAGAGAAAAATAAATGAATTTAGATTTATGTTTGTTAACTCTAATGTCGATATTATATGTGTGTCTGAGACATGGTTTTTACCTAATCTATGTAGCGTATTAATAGATTGTGATGGTTATAATGTGTTTCGAGTGGATCGTCCTAGTCGTGGTGGAGGTGTTGCAATATATGTAAACAAAAAACTTAATGTGTCTGTACATTGCCAAAGCCCCCTGATAGTCCAATGGAGTACATTTTCCTTCGAATTAAGAATGCACCAGATAAGAGTAAAATATTAATAGGCTGTATATACCGACCTAACAATAATATTGACTTTTCTCATTTGATAGACCTTATATCGACATTTGCCTCTGATTTTACTGACATCATTCTGACTGGTGACCTTAACTGTGACATGTTGAAAGACAATCGACTCTTAGGTAATATGGAATCGATAGGACTAGCGCTTGTCAATTCTACAAATCCTACGCATTTTACAAATTCGACAAATACGCTCATTGATTCGTTCTTCGTTAACAATCTTGAGAAAATTTTAAAATATGACCAATTGGCAGCACCAGCCTACTCTAAACATGACCTCTTTTTCCTGACGTATAATACCCACCCAGACTACACTGACCATTATATAGAATTCCGTGACTTTAGAAAAATAGATTACAACGGCCTTGCCCATGATTTTGACTTAATAAACTGGAACTATATTTTTTGCTTAACGTCAGTAGACTGTCAAATTCAACAGCTAGAAACGAACATCAACTACCTATATAACAGACATGTACCACTTAAAAAGAAAAAAGTAAGACTGAAGGAAAACCCATGGTTCAATATTGATATTAGGATGGCAATAGCAAAACGAAATAAGGCATTTCATAAATGGAAGAGATATAAAACTGACTCTCATTACAACGTCTTTGCCAAATTAAGGAAGATAGTCACTGTCGGGTCATCCAGCCGCAGCAGATATTTAGATTCCCTTAATGCTAGCTCTTAGCTTATCTGCATAATTACCATCGCTCTCTCTCTCACTTTATCTTTCTATTCGCTCTCTCTCGTTACTTGTTGGTTGATACTTTGGGTCAGCAATCGGCTGATCCGCGTCTTAATTCAATTCTAACTCTTCCTTTCGATCTCGCGGACCATTTTTGTTAATCGCTTCTGCTAAATAAATTCGCTGCCTTTGCAGAAATCGAACTCTAAGTTTTCGTCTTTTAATTCAACAGCTAATAAAAAAGCTTATTAGCTCAACATTTGGTGACCCCGACGTGATTTGTGCATAAAAAAGACCCAGTGCAAGTCACAAAAATTTAATTTATTTTACCAGGCTGCATATTTTACTTGATCTGTGTTGCAGCTGGATTGTGCGTTAAACTGCCATAAACAATTTTGTGCAAATAAACAAATTGTTACACAAACTCGTACATAAGGCGATATATAGACCAGTAGCGGATCATTTTTCGCTATTCCCCTTTTGCGTTCATCTTCCCGCTGAAGCCGAATTTTGCCCACCGAGTCTGCTGCAGTTATTATTGTTGTTGTTGCTGCTTAACATGTCTTCAGAAAATTCGGTAAGCGTCATCGGCAACAGCAGCTCAAACAGGGTGACATTTCTGAAGCGCAAGGCAAATTCACTATTTAATAGAGTGGAGCGTTTAATGGAATCTCTTTCAAGTTCGGCGTTGGCCTTCATGTGAGGTTGGAGCTTATTGAGGAACTTCAAGGAGCATTTAAAAAGGTTCTCAGCGAGCTTGAGGAATTGGATTTCGACGAGATTGAAAACGACTTGGACGAGAAATTTGATGACGTCGTCGTTATTCTTAAGTCGACGGTTCGATCGGAGATCACAAAGCGCTCCTCGCAATTGCTTCAGCATTCAACCTTTGCTGATGGTAATACGCCCGGTCATTTCGGCCATCAACAGCAACAAGCTCTGCGCCGAGTGATTCCACTTCCCGCTCTCGAACTTCCGAAATTCGCTGGAGGTTATGCGAATTGGGCAGATTTTTATTCCATGTTTACATCCATCATAGACAGTCATCCTGACCTGACCAACATAGAAAAGCTGCAGCATCTACGTTCTGCGTTGGAAACCATCCGCTCGCTGGAAATTTCGGATGGCAATTATTCTGTGGCTTTGGACTTATTGCAAAACCGATTTGATAATCGTCGTTTGGTTTTTCAGGCACACATTACTGAGATCCTGGGGCTTAAGGCAGTGCAGAGTGGTTCCGTCTCGATGCTTCGTGATCTGTCAGATAAATTCTACGCTCATATTCGTGCTCTAAAGGGATTGGGCACGACGGAACAAATCGCAGGATGCATCATCGTCCAAATACTGCTTCAAAAGCTAGATCCTGCGAGCCAGGCCAAATGGGAGGAGCGATTAGAGGATCCAGCATTCGTCAATCTAATTCCGACGTGGGAATCCATGGCATCATTTTTGGAGCAGCGATGCAGAACATTGGAGACTATGGATTTCGCCATGGCAAGCTATGCGTCTGGCAATCAGGTGGGAAACAACGGAACGTCTAATTCTCGTAGATCCGCTTTTGTTGCCACAAATATTAACCCTTGGATTTGTTCGTTCTGCAATGCTTCTGGTCACTCCATTCATTACTGCCAAGATTTTAATGCCCTGCCCCCTGCAAATCGGCTTCAAGAAGTAAAGAGGCTCTCTCTTTGCATAAACTGCCTTAAGATAGGGCATCAATTGAGGCAGTGCAATTCCAGCAATTGTCGTGCATGCGGAGCTAAACACCACACCCTCCTTCATTTGGGAAATTTAGCCTCAGCTTCTCCACAGGCAGGATCACAGCTTCCAGAAGCTCTTGCCGCTGTCTCACTCAATGCTGTCGTAGAACCATCTGCCGAACCTTCCACATCCACTGCTCTTATTGCTCAGGATTTCAGTACTGACATTGTGATCCTAGCCACTGCCACCGTTCTCGTAAAAAATCGGTCTGGAGTTTTCGTTCCATGTCGAGTCCTTCTTGATTCGGGCTCTCAACTGCATCTAATAACATCACGCTTTGCAGATCAGCTTCAAACAAAGAAGATAAAGTCCCCGGCATCTGTTACTGGAATCGGTGATTCGAGCTTTGTTACAAATGGTCACTCAGTTAATATTGCGATACAGTCCCGAACGTCTGATTACACGGTGAACCTAACCGCAGTTATTGCCCCAATATAACTGAGCTACAGCCTAGTTTTAATGTGGACACCAGCAGCTGGAAAATACCGCAAAACATTAAATTAGCTGACCCTACATTTTATATCCCTCAGCGTGTGGATCTTTTGATTGGAGCCAGTTTGTTTTACGAGCTGTTGTGCGTTGGACAAATTAAGCTCGCTCCTGGATTACCGCTTATTCAAAAGACTCGACTGGGATGGGTTGTTTCCGGAGGATATGGCGTCTCCAATGGCTCTTCATTAATCTCGCCCTTTGCTGTACCTCGCGTTAGTAAGGAGAATAGCTTAGATCGCCTTGATGATCGTCGAAAGGTCCTGCTAATAAAATCGCCAAGCTCGTCGCTGGACTTCAATGG